CTCCCGTCCATGCACTCCCTGCTCCCACAGCCCCTCACTACCCACCCTGCTCTTGTAGCCTCGCCACCTGGCACCTGCAGACATTTCTGTTTGTGGTCCCTAGCCTAGATGATCTGAGCGTAAATCATTGTCACCTTCAGAGAAGCTCTAAAACGTGGGTATTACACAGTTTCTCAGCTGTTGTTTTAACACTGCTTTTTCCGTGTGCTGAATTATCTCCTTTACAATCAGATTGGAGTTCTTCTGGAAACCTCTGGCTGAACAGATTCTATTCAAATGGTCATTTTCTAAAAGTAAATGACTATTGTTGACACGTCATACAATGATAAAGAAAATGGAAACTCACATGATGATTTTTTTGTTTTCCTTGGACCAAAACATAGTCTGGGGTTCTCAACGTTGCCAGTGATGATGGTCAAACATGTTTTTTATCAACTTTAGTTTCTCGTTTAATAGGAAGAAAATCTCAGGAGAGCCAAAAGGGAGGACCTGAAGGTCAGCATCCACCAAATGGAGATGGAGAGGATCCGCTACGTCCTCAGCAGCTACCTGCGGTGTCGCCTTATGAAGGTTTGGCGTGGAGATGCCTGGAGGGATGGAGGCAGCGCAGTCTGGAATGCAGACTGAATGTCCTGGGGAGGAGTTGGGCTGGGCCCAGGAGGGTCCAGGACCCGAAGCCGCTGCTAAAAGCCCAGTGTCAGTGTAGTTAAAGTGTAAGGAGGGCAAGAGATTGCTCCGGGGAAGCACAGAGGAACATGTCTTGCCTACAGCAGGGACACCGCACACATTGTTAGTTTGTTCACCTGCCGTGTGAATGGGGCCCCTCCATGGCGTTGCTGAAGTGAGAGTTCTCGGCATTGGTGAATACGGAATGCTGACTAGAGGGTAACTCGTCTCCAAAACTATTTTGTCTGTCAAACGGCCAGTGTCAACGTCTAAAGAACCAAGATGACTTACATTCACCTATAGCTTTGTGGCCATCTGACTTACAAAACTGAAATGTGAAACATCCCTATTTTATAACCCTGGGAAAGTCTTAACTTCCTTGACATTTTTCATTTGGCTCTATGTGTCTCCTTAGTTATTACAAAGAAAATGCATTCTCTCTTCTGCATGAGAATGTTCAGCTATCTTAAGACTGCCCACAGTCTCTCTGAAGTCTTCTCCTAGGCACACATTTCAGCCATTCCAACCATTTCCTCTCCTGATCTCTTCTCTAAAAAAAAGTTCTGGTTTGTCTCTATCCTTCTTAAATTACACTATCTAAAACTAAACACAGTATCCCAGTTGTAGTTTGACCAAGTTTGTGAAGAACAGAACGATCATTTCTCTTATTCTGGATATTAAGCTGGTAAATGTCAGCCACATCACACGAGCGTATTTATCACGTGAGCATATTGACGAGTATGATGCCCAAGCTCATTCTTCACTCACATGGACACTAACCCCTTTTCAGATGATAATTTCTCCAGCCAGTCACCGTCCTCTATTTGTATGGCTTACATTTTGGCTCCTTAAGTGTAGGGCTTGATACTTACCCTCTTAAACTTTATCTTATCAAACTGGGCCATTTCCCTTGTCTCTGGAGCCTGATCTCATCCCCTAATGTATTAGCTGTCTCTTAATACTTTATGTCATCAGCCCCTTTGTTTTGTTTTTGTTTGGTCCTTCTTTTTGTTTTTGTTGGAGATGGAGTCTCGCTCTGTCACCCAGGCTGGAGTGCAGTGGCAGGATCTCAGCTCACTGCAACCTCTGCCTCCCAAGTTCAAGTGATTCTATTGTCTCAGCCTTCAGAGGAACTGGGATTACATGCTTCCGCCACCACGCCCAACCAATTTTTGTATTTTTAGAAGAGACAGCGTTTCATCGTGTTGGCCAGGCTGATCTCGGACTCCTGACCTCAGGTGATCCACACCCACCTTGGCCTTCCAAAGTGCTAGTATTACAGGGGTAAGCCACTGTACCTGGCCCACATAAGGTTTTTGATGACATGCTTACCAAAGCTGGTGATGACCAGCCAGTGTAGTAGCTCATGCCTGTAATTCCAGCACTTTGGGAGGCTAAGGCAGGTGGATCACCTGAGGCCAGAAGTTCAAGATCAGCCTGGCCAACATGACAAAACCCTATCTCTTCTAAAAATACAAAAATCAGCTGGGCGTGGTGGTGGGTGCCCGTAATCCCAGTTACTTGGGTGACTGAGGCAGGAAAATTGCTTGAACCTCAGAGTTGAAGGTTGCAGTGAGGCGAGATCGTGCCACTGCACTCCAGCCTGGGTGACACAGTGAGACTCTTTCTCAAAAAAAAAAAAAAAAAAAACTTTATGTGATAATTTCATTAATTGGACCGTGGCAAGGATCTTTCACGAAAGACTTCCCTGCAGTTTGACATCTACCCAGTGAGTCAGCTTTCTTTGTTCAGCCACTTAGGAGTCTCCCAATCTGAGCTGTCCCCCAGCCCCAGGTCCACAGCTTACCTGCAAGGGTGTCGCAGAGACGTTGTCACGTGTTTTATGGTATGCCTGTCCACCCACCCCACCCCACCTCCAGGCCACATGTCCTTCCTCAGGAGGATTGTATAAACCCTCTTCATGTTAACCACGTTCTTCTCTTTGACTTTTGCTGACGCTTCCATGAAGATTTTGCTTTGTCTTCACAGATAGAGAAGTTTTTCCCTCATGTCCTTGAGAAGGAGAAAACCCGCCGAGACGGGGAGCCTTCCAGCCTTTCCCCGGAAGAGTTGGCCTTTGCCAGAGAGTGAGTGGAGTCGTTGGCGTGTGGCATCTGGCTGGTTCAGCATGATGCCCATCCTGGAGGCCTGTGCACTGCTGCCATTGCCACAGTGATTTGAATTTGTTTCTTTCAGGTTCATGGCAAACACAGAGACTTACCTGAAAAATGTTGCCTTGAAGCACATGCCCCCTAACTTACAGAAGGTGGACCTCTTCCGGGCAGGTAAACAAGACATCTCCCTGCAGGTGGCCCAGCCATCGTCAGGTGCCCCAGGGTGGGATCCTGTCTTCACTGTTTTTACCCAAATATGGAAAGATAATTATGTAGATAAACAAAAAAGAGGAAGGATTCTGGCTAAAAACCAGAAAACTCATGCAAAGCAGATGCAATAGTAGGCGTTTGAGCATTGCTTCCATGTTCCCTGGGGTGGACTGAGCCCCATGGCTGCCCTGGTGGTGGTAGATGCAGGCATGGAGCCACGTTCGCCTTTAGCAGCCATCTGCTGAGCCCCGGTCAGGTGCCAGCCGTCCCAAGCACCAGTACTGCAGAGGCCACGCCAGCATTGCCCCTGCTCCAAGGGGCTGGCCATCTCTTCCTCACAGGTCCCAGAACACGCAGGGCCCGTCCGGCTGGAGGGGAGGGCTGAAACAGGAGGCTAGGGAGACCTCCAGTGATTCCCTGTGGCCTCAGAAGTGGAGCAGGGTGGAGGGTGTGGGGACAGGAGGAAGGGGAGCCAGGGAAGGGGAGCTTGGCCAGAGCCCCTCCTCCTGCCTCTTGGTGCCAGCTCCTGAGGGCTGCTGAGTGAGGAAAGGGAAGTATGGGCAGAGCCCTTCACCTCGGATCAACCCACTGATGGGCATACAAGATAAAGCCCATATTCCTCAGTGTTTCACAATGCCCCACATTCAAGCAAGACCTCCTTAGGCAAAATTGCCACGCCAGAACAAACGCCCACCAGGGGACTGGAGCCTGCCATGTCTACAAGCTGAGCTTAGTGTGCCGAGTCCACCAGCTCCAGTACACCTGAGCCCTGGAAGTTCACCTCTGCCCAGTCTGTGCTGGGGCTGGGGGCCACATGCCCACCCCTATGGCGATGGACCAAGGTCTTAGTCCCTTCGGCCGATCCGAGTTCTGGAGGCCAGGCAGTTCAGAATCCAGGCCCCCACAGATTCAGTGCCTGCCAAGGGCCTGTTCCTCATAGATGGCACCTTCCATGTATCCTCACAGAGAAGGGAAGGGGCAAGCAGACTCTCAGGCTACTTTTATAAGGTCATTAATCGCAGTCTCTGTGTGTCCTAGTCTCCTCCCTCCTGCTGCCTTTTTCTTCTGAGACCAGGTCTTGCTGCGTCACCCAGGCTGGAGTGCATTGGCGCTGTCATAGTGCACTGCAGCCTTGAGCTCCTGGCTCCAGAGATCCTCCCGCCTCAGCCTCCCAAGTAGCTGGAACTATAGGCGTTTGCCACCATGCCTAGCTATTATTTTTAGATTCTTTTTGTTAGAGAGAGTCTTGCTATGTTGCCTAGGCTGGTCTCAAACTCCGAGCCTCAACTGCTCCTCCAGCCTCAGCCTCTCAAAATGCTGGGATCACAGGCGTGAGCCACTGTGCCTGGCCTACTCTCATAAGGCATCAGTCAGATTGGATTAGGGCCCACCCTGCTGGCCTCATTTTCACTTAATTGCCTCTTTAAAAGCCATTTCTCCAAATACAGCCCCACTCTGAAGTACTGGGAGTTAGGGCTTCAACTTACGAATTTTGGGGGACACAGTTCAACCCATGACACCAGGAGCAAGTCAGACCCATAACAGACTTGTGGAACCCTGAATTGGTCAATTTACTGAGCCTGCATGAGGAAAACAAAAGGCCCCATCCATGTCCAGTTCTCTCCCTGGTCAGCCACTCTGTCTGCAGAAGTGGAATGGGCTTAAAAGAATTGGAATGGGCTGGGCTCCTGTCTGAACCCTGAGTGTGCCATACCATTCATCCCAGCAAGTTTTCCTTTATTGATTTCGTCAGCCAAGAATTTCCTGATCACATTATGTTTTCCTGGCAGTTCCCAAACCAGATCTAGATTCTTACGTGTTTTTGAGAGTGAGAGAACGACAAGAAAACATACTGGTAGAACCAGACACAGATGAGCAGGGGTGAGTGACATGCGTCTTTCGCGGTGGGCACATTCCTCCCGACGGAGGGCAGCCGAGCTCTGCAGGCAGATGTGTTTCCTTCTTTTTCAGGGACTACGTAATTGACCTGGAGAAGGGCTCACAGCACTTGATCCGATACAAAACCATTGCACCTCTGGTTGCATCTGGAGCCGTCCAGCTGATTTAAAACTAGACATAAACAAGGATGAAGACCTGGAACCCTAGAGAAAATACTAGAAAGCCCTCATTTCACCTTGTGCCAGAGGACAATAATAAAGAAGTTCACTAGGCATCAGACATTCCTCAGCAGTGCTGCGGGTGGCGGGCGTGTGGAGGAGCTCCAGGCAGGATTGCTCCTGCTGCCGCACGTCCTGTCTGCTGTTTCAGCCGGTGTCAGCAGGTGGGGCCATTGCTCTGTTTATTCTGCACACTTGGCAGAGCCGCAGAGGCTCTCGGTTCCTTTCCCCTTTGTAGTAGTTTCTGAGCTAAGGAAAGTCAGGCGGACATAGTTCCTAACAGGGCATCACTGCCTGTGATCGGGGCTACATTTAGCCCTGACCTGACAATGGTAGGAGAGTTCATTTAGCCTTTCTGCTGGGAAGATTGTAAATAAATTAAAGAAAACAGCTGCGGCCTTCTCCCGTCATACATCATTAGACTGTGTGAACTAACATTTTAGAGCCTCTGATATTGGACTTAAAACCAATTTCCGTCATGCTTAACTGAAAATCACAACTAAACCAATAAACCATTATTAAATTTCCATTCTGCGGCAGAAGGCACCTCTGGACGGCTCCGGCTTGTAGTCTAATGAAGTCTGTGCTCCCTGCTGTTAACCCACAGCCCTCCCCAGCCCTCCAGCGGCTTTGCCAAGCCAGCCTCCAGGCCATCTGGCTGTCCTTGGCCAAGGCGCTGTTAACAGTGCGACGTTAACCATCCTGTATTGTGACCTCTGTGGCTGCTTTTCTGGTTTAAGTCCTTCACTTTTTCAAGGGGAATGGATGAAATGAACCTAATGTGCATGCAGAGTCTCACAGTGATAGTGGAAGGAAGGATGTATAGGCAGTGAATGAACGATCATTCCATGAAACATGATAAAAAACAACCTGCACTCCATTCTTCCTTGATGAAGTTGGCAGATTTTCATTTGCAGGATATGGGCTACAGGGTAACACTGCTGTCATTTCCAGGAGAAATCAGTAGGGGAAAGCAAGGGAGGGTTTTTTGTTTGTTTATTTTTTGAGATGGAGTTTTGCTCATTTCCCAGGCTAGAGTGCAGTGAGCAATCTCAGCTCACTTCAACCTCTGCCTCCTGGGTTCAAGATATTCTGCCTCAGCCTCCCGAGTAGCTGGGATTACAGGCCCCCGCCACCATGCCTGGCTAATTTTTTGTATTTTTAGTATAGACACGTTTTCCATGTTGGCCAGGCTAGTCTGGAGCTCCTGACTGCAGGTGATACACCTGCCTTGGCCTTCCAAAGTGCTGGGATTACAGGCGCCAGCCATCTTGCGCGGCCTAATTTCTTGACAGAAGTATTTGATACTCATGCATTGTCTTTACCGCCTTCAGCTGTTTGTTAAACAAATGTGCACTGAGCACGCAGTGTGCCAGGCATAGTTCAAGGCACCAGTGCTACAACCAGGAGTAAGACATTCAGTCCCTGCTTGGATAGAGTGAGAAGTGCCTTGCAGAGAATTAGAACTGGGTGACTTACCAGGGACACTGGACTGGGTGGTCTGGAAGGGTCTCACTGGAGAGAGAACATGTAGGCTGAGATCTGATGAACAGGAAGGAGCTGCAATGCAGAAGTCAAAAGGAAGGGCATTCCAGGCAGAGAAGGCAGTCCGTGCAAAGGTCCTGAGGCAGAAGCAAGCCTGGCAGATGTGGGTGTGGGCCTGGCTGGAAAGCCCAACTCAAAATAGAAAGTGGTACAGGGTAAGGTCTGAGGCAGGCTGGACCCAGATCTTACGGGACCTTGGTAATACAGAGATCCCACAGTCCTGAGAAGTGGACAGGTCTGTGGGAATCAGGAATTTAGTGGTAAGCTTGAGATGAGAACCCAAGTCTCCATTTCCTAGTCATGTTCTCCCTGTGGTGCTAAGCCCAGAGACCCGAGCTGTTACCTAGACCAGTGCTTCCTCAGCCTGACTGTGCATCCCATCACCTGGAGCTCACCTTGAGATGTAGGTTCTGAAACAGTGGGGTCCAGGATCCTGCCTTTCTAAGGAGCTCCCACGTCATGCAGTTGCTGCTGGCCTGGGGACCACATTGAGTGACGGCTCTGTGTCCTCGTGCCTCCAGCTGCTGCTCTGTACATGCCCAGCTGCACGGAGTAGTTTACATCCTCTAAAGCCACAATAAATTGCTCAATTTCCTAAGTTACCTCTTTAAGGGAAGACTGGTTTTGATCTGTCATTTTTAAATAAAGAAGTTGAATTTCAAAACAAAGTGGAATAGGAAATGGTGTGGCTTGGTCGACATTGATTTTAACTTTGGTTCATGGTGAGTTTCGCTTTATTGTTAGCAACTCGCCACTGGAAGCATGACAGAACATTTCATCAAGTGATGGCATCATCCTTTACCATACGCTTGCCGCTAGCAAGTCCACTCTCCCTGAGATGTGCTTACAGGCCCCTGTGTGGGTTTCCCCACCGCAGTCATCGTCCGTCAGCTGTGACCTTGCTGTGTGTAGACACTCCATGCTCACACCCCAGCAGGCCGCCTGGCTTTGCATCACCCTCAGAGACATCAAACTTCCCCCTGTGGTGTACAAGTGTTAGCCAGGAAGCTTGCAGAGTGCTTCATTTTTGTTTTTGTGTTTTTGAGACGTCACCCAGGCTGGAGTGCCATGGTGCGATCTCAGCTCACCACAACCTCCCCCTCCTGGGTTCAAGTGATTCTCCTGCTTCAGCCTCCCTAGTAGTTGGGATTACAGGCGCATGCCACAACACCCAGCTAATTTTTGTATTTTTAGTAGAGACAGGGTTTCACCATGTCAGCCAGGCTGGTTTTGATCTGACCTCAAGTGATCCGCCTGCCTCAGCCCAAGTGCTGGGATTACAAGGCATGAGCCACCACGCCTGGCCACAGAGTGCATTTTTGAGCAAACATATCATATGTCAATTCTTCATATAGTGTTCTTTAGGTAATTTATCTTGGGAAGCCAAATATCCCATTTAGAATTATTTAAAAACTGATTTTTCAAATGCATCTAATCAACTAGGTATGAAAGCCCTTTCATTGTATTGTCCAAAAAAACCTTTGCTTTTTAAAAAATGCAAAATCAATATTCTGTACTTATTTAACAGATTTGGTTTCAAATACCATAGCTATTTCCGAAAAATTGGGTATTTATTCAGTGGCTAAAAAACAACTATTGGGGGTATTCAACGAGATGTACTGGCCCATGCTTGGGGCTCACACCTGCAATCCCAGCAACTTTGGGAGGCCAAGGCGGGAGGATAGCTTGAGCACAGGAGTTCCAGACCAGCCTGGGCAACATAGTGAGACTCTGTCTCTACAAAGAATAAAACAATTAGCCTGGTGGTCTTGTACATCTCTGTAGTCCCAGCTATTTGAGAGGCTGAGGTAGGATTGCTTGAGCCCAAGAGGTTAGGTTGCAATGAGCTATGATTTCACCACTGCAATCCAGTTTGAGTGACAGAGCAAGACCTTGTCTCAAATATATATTGGAGATTCTGCAGGCAATTAGAATATTTAATTTACCAAGTTTATGCGTTAAGCTGTTTTTAAAGTAGATTAACTTGTAAATTCCACAACAAACCTATGCAAGGAAAACTTTGAGGTCTTGGAATGAGCAAAAGATTACTGGCTATCCTTCCACCTAATGCATGATCCCTGTGGGTTGTGTGCCTGTGTCTTTAAATAGATTATTTTACAACTCTATAGGGGTACAAGTTGATTCATACAAAACTTATAATGATGTATTTCTTGTCTTGCTATGCAAATGATTCCTGCCCTTGGCAATACAAATGAATTTTGTCCTGTTGAGAATAAAGTCAACCCCTCATTTGATTTGCTTTTGGGGGCGGGGGTGGGACGTAGTCTTGCTCTGTTGCCCAGGCTGGAGTGCAGTGGCACGATCTTGGCTCACTGCAACCTCTGCCTACCAGGTTCAAATGATCCTCCTGCCTCAGCCTCCCGAATAGCTGGGACTACAGGCATGTGCCACCACACCTGCTAATTTTGGTATTTTTAGTGGCGACGGGGTTTTGCCATGTTAGCCAGGCTGGCCTCGAGTCATCTACCTTCCTGTGCTTCCCAAAGTGCTGGGATTACAGGTGTGAGCCATGGCGTCCATCCTCCTTTTAGAGTTGAGATAGCAGACTCCCTTGCTGAAGGCCACATCGCTTCTAAGTAGAGGAGATGTGATCAAACCCCAATGAGGCCAGGACACCTGAGTCCATCCTTTTCATCTTACCGTAATCTTTCTTTCCGCAAAAGAAAAGAACATCCAAAAATGTTTTAAGCAGCGATAGCTTTACTGGAACAAGTTCTCATATTCCAAAAAGACTCATTTGAGGGAAAAACCACCACTACCATTCATATTGCTTTAGAAGAGGTGGCATTTTTCTCAACATAGTTTTCTGATTTAAGCAGGTCCTAGTCTATCTAACACACAATGCTGACAGATTCTGCCCAGCTTGTTAAGACAAGGAAAACCACTGGGAATAAAGTCAGCACACAGTTACCTAAGTCTTGCTTCTTGTCCAGTTCTGTTAGGTTCTATGGAAATAAGAATAAAAGTAAATGACTATTTTTGCATCTAAGGAATTTACAATTAATCCTAAGAAGATGTCTTAAGTGTAAACCTAAAAGTATGAGATTCTTTGGCTCAGAAGAAAATTTTCCTAACGGCCAGGACTAAGGTTAAGAGGAAGTTATTTTCTTGGGTTCAGAGATTTGCATATGAATGTTTTCAGCCTCTTAAGTGGCTTAAAACAACTTGGGACCCACAGTTGCTGCCAGCTCAAAGGCAAATGTTTTTAAACTTCAAATTGCTGCTTCTGTTATTGCTGAACCTATAATTTTCCTTAAACAGAATTCTGACCATTTCATTGCCTCTCTTAAAAAGCTTCAGTGGGCCGGGCACAGTGGCTCACGCCTGTAATCCCAGCACTTTGGGAGGCCAAGGCAGGTGGATCATCTGAGGTCAGGAGTTCAAAACCAGCCTGGCCAACGTGGAGAAACCCTATCTCTACTAAAAATACAAAAATTAGCCAGGCGTGGTGGCCAGCGACTGTAGTCCCAGCTACTCAGGAGGCTGAGGCAGGAGAATCACTTAAACCCGGGAGTTGGAGGTTTCAGTGAGCTGAGATCTTGCCATTGTACTACAGCCTGGGCAAAAAGAGTAAAACTCAGTCTGAAAAAAAACAAAAACAAAAAAAAACTTCAGTGGTTACCCATTGCCTACAGAAAAGGAAACGGTAAAGGAGATTAATATTAATCTGTGTCCTGGACAATACGCAGATTGCTTTTCACAAATTATCTTGTTTAATCCTCATAACGGCCCTAAAGCACCAGCTCACCACCGTACCCCAGCTTCCTCGTCAAATTGTCCTTTCTCTTTCCCTAAATAGTTTCTAATCCCTTTTTTAATACCTACAGTTTTACTATTTTATCTTTATTAAAATCCCACCAACATTCTTTAGGGAATTAAGTAAGGTGTACAAGTTTTATATTAGAAATCCTGGAGTGATTTGGGCACACACAGCTTTCTGGTCTGCCTGCAAGCTCGCTTCCAGAATGGGTCATGAAAATAACTGAAAAATGGTCTCTCCCACACCCAGCTTCACATGTTAAATAAAGCATGTGCCATCCACTCCCAGTTCTGTTTGCAGGGTTGCCTGCCCTCAACCTCCGGACGAGTGGTTTGGCCCTCAACCTGGGTGAGACTGTGGCAGGCCTCCCCTGTTTGTGCCATCTTC